TTGTTGCGTTGGCCGGGAATCGAACCCGGGTCAACTGCTTGGAAGGCAGCTATGCTCACCACTATACCACCAACGCTTCACATTGACACTTGCGTCTCTCGGATTTCAAGTACAGATTCTGTCCCTGCTACACACAGACACATTGAAAGCGTGCATTATATACGCACATACGTGCATTCACAGAACGCACAACGTGCTTGCAGAGCCATTACCAGTTAATGACACCCTAAAGTCTCCATTTACATCAAACATCCCCACGCATGCACAAAATGTGTCAGCAATGCAAAACATACTTGCTGTGCCATTACCATTAATAGAACCCTAAACATGGCCAGGAAGACGGGCATTTTTTCCCCCCTCTGCATGCGTTAAAACACTCACATATGTGGAGGGGAAAAACCGCACGCAGCAGATCTTGTTACATGCGCTACTTTTGTTTTTCTCGCATGTTTAGGACCCCACTGAGATCAACTGGGGACTTGCGACAAATGCAGGAAAATGAGCATGAATGCTGCGTCCTGTGAATGGTGAGAATGAGCAAAAAAAAGTCGCTGAGCAAATGCGCTTATTTCCTGCATGTTAAAATGTGCACAAACACACGAAAGAAAATGTGGAACGCATGTTGCACAGGGGCGTCACCAGGTGCAGCCATCGGGTGTGACCTGGCTTGCACGTCGTTATGTGTACGCGTGATGTCATCACACACGTGTGTCATGACGTCATATGCATTTCACTGTCGGCAGCCATCTTGGTGATGCATGCCGGCAGAGAGAGGAGGGGAACGTTCATCCAGCGGGATAAGGTACGCCGCCAGGTCCCCTCCTCTCTCACGCAGCTCACGCAGTCCATGACCTAGTGCCCGACTTTTCATAGGGGGGCGACACCAAAATGACTGTCAGTGATGGTGTCACCCCCTCTGATGGTGTCACCCCCCATTGTGACACCACAGAATTTGCTACTTTCCTGCGTTTGGTGCATGTCCAGGAACCCAATGAAATAAATGGTGATGCGCCCCAAGAGCATGAAACAAACGCACGCAAACATGTGTTCTGCTTCACCCATGTATGAACGGGGCCTCATAATGGAATTGTTAGTGTGTGTAAGCATTCTAACAATTCCGTCCCCGCTTCCCATTACACACATATTATTGTTTATTGTGCAAATATAAGAAAACAGCTTTTAAAACAACCATCAGAGGTATTTTAGGACTAAAAAGCCTTCAATAAAATGAACTGCAAACATAAAGAATAATTAAATAGAAAGAAAGCTAATAAAAGAAAAGTCTTGGAGGATGCGGGCATCGATCCCGCTACCTCTCGCATGCTAAGCGAGCGCTCTACCATCTGAGCTAATCCCCCTTCACAGACAATGCACTGCGACCAGTACATGTACATCCGTGCAGCCCAGCACCTTCCCTTTACTATGCAATGTAACAATCATCTGGATTGTATTTAACAACGTTCCTGAACTCAGCTACTAAATATAGAAAACTAACCCGAGATACATTGTCCAAGCAGAGCTGAGTGCCCAGAGCAAGCCCCAACCCTCTCATATGTGATCTCCTTCCATGCTGCTGGAGCTGAGTGCCCAGAGCAAGCCCCAACCCTCTCATATGTGATCTCCTTCCATGCTGCTGGGGCTAAGTGCCTAGAGCAAGCCCCAACCCTCTCATACATGATCTCCTTCCATGCTGCTGGGGCTAAGTGCCTAGAGCAAGCCCCAACCCTCTCATACATGATCTCCTTCCATGCTGCTGGGGCTGAGTGCCTAGAGCAAGCCCCAACCCTCTCATATGTGATCTCCTTCCATGCTGCTGGGGCTGAGTGCCTAGAGCAAGCCCCAACCCTCTCATACATGATCTCCTTCCATGCTGCTGGGGCTGAGTGCCTAGAGCAAGCACCAACCCTCTCATATGTGATCTCCTTCTATGAAGCTGGGGCTGAGTGCCCAGAGCAAGCCCCAACCCTCACTTATGTGATCTTCTTCCTAGGGCTGCAACAACTAATCGACATAATCGATTATTGAAAAAGTTGTCAAGTTTTTCAATCATCGATTAATCGGCTTCTGATTAGTTGGCCCTGTTCACAGCTCCACACACACTGCGCGCCGCACCTCCTCCCTACTTCACGCTCGCCGTTGCCAGACCCGCATCCACGCTCCACCACCAGCTACAGAGGAATACAACAGATCCCAGCAATAATACATTATACAGTGGTGCAATACCGAATACCACTAGCTATAGAGGACTACAAAACCCAGCAATAGTACATTATACAGCGCAATGCAGAATACCGCCAGCTATAATGTACTATTGCTGGGATTTGTTGTATTCATCTATAGCTGGTGGTATTCTGCATTGCGCTGTATAATGTACTATAGCTGGGATTTGTAGTCCTCTATAGCCGGTGCCATTCTGCATTCATTGCTGTATAATTTTACACTTATCATTTCACTATATTGCCCACCACACTTTTTTTTTTCTTTTTTACTTCCACCGCTCCAAGCTTGCTCCTGTGATGGACTACAATCTCAATACAAACTAGTAGTCCCATCACTGGAGCCATCGAACTTAATAATCGGCTAACGAATCGATTTTGAAAATAATCGTTAGCTGCAGCTCTACTCCTTCCATGCTGCCGGGGCTGAGTGCCTAGAGCAAGCCCCAACCCTCACTTCTGTGATCTCACTCCATGCTGCTGGGGGAATAATCATTCCTATATCTATTTGTATGCTAAGTGAACTGTTGCTGTCATGCAAATACACTGCACTACATGAACTACATTTGACTTTCTAATATGATTTGACTTTTGTATAAAAAAGGCTTCAAAATGATAAACACAAACAGAATGTAGAACAATTGAACAATGTATTCGGCGTTCCGTGTCCTGATTTATTGGGGTTTCTTAGGCTTGTAAAAAATAAAATGCATTTAAACAATAGAATGAAATGTTTCCATGACACAGACAGGAAGTGGAATAAAGGCCTCGTTGTGTGATTACATGAATGGAATGGAATGATTTAATAGTTTAATGGATT